TATTTTTTTGAAAAAATTCAATGTGTACACAATCAAAAATTAAAAAAGAAAAAGATAACTGATACTTTTTTTGCAAAAGATAGAAAAACTGTTTGAAAAAAATAACTTTTGGAATAAAAATAAATACATATATATTTAGATATAAAATTGATTTCTGTTAGAAGTCATAAGACGAAAGTATTTTTTGAAAAAAAATAGAAAAAGAAATTCTTTATAAAAACTGAAAAACAAATCAAAATTTTTTTGAAACAATACTTTCTGCATTAAAAACAAATTTTATTTTTCAAAAAATTGTGCAAAAAAAGAATAATTTATATTTTAGTCATGTAAAAGAAAAAATATTTTCTGGCATGTTAAAAATATATATTTTTTCCATCATATAAAAAATTCCATCCGATAAAACAAAGTTTTTTTGTGGTGTATTAAAAAATTTCCTCCTTGTGTTAAAAATGTTTTCCTGATCATGTTAAAAATAATATTCTGTCATGTTAAAAAAATCTTCCATAGTTAAAGAATTTTTCTTCCATAATTTTTCTTTTACATAATATTTCCCCCTCATGTGAAGAAAAAGATTTTTTTCTCTTATTCTAAAAAAAAAAAAAGTTTCTCCCTCATGCAAAAATATTTTTCCCTCATGTACAAGGTGAACATATTAAAATATATATATTGAACATATTAAATATATATATTTTTCTCTCTCTCAAGTTAAAAAAATTAAATGTCCATCCAAAAAAATTACACTCCTCCGCCCCCCTCTCCCCACTCGCATTTGGCCCCAGTCCCCCCTTTGCTCAGCCTCCCCCCTACTTGCTCCATGGGTTTCCTCCTTACACCCCCACCCCCCACTTGTTCCCCCAGCTCAGCTGCTGCTCCCGGGGAGCGGGGGAGAGGGGGAAGGGGTGTGGAAGGAAGGGGGGAGGGACACAGTGGTGGAGAGGAGACATAGAATAAGAGACTCAGCTGTTTTTAGAGGATGGGGGATTGCATCTGCCTGGTGACCAGTTTCTCATGAGAATGGGGCTACCTGGGGATTTGGTTCCTTCATCTCTGGGGATATAGAGTCTGGTACATAAAGGTGGCACCATCATGTTGCCTCAATGGGACTTTTTGCCTTCTTGGTTCTGTGAGGGGGTAGTAGTGTTGTTAAAGTAGCCTTTATTTTACTGCCAGGATTAATGTCTAGCTGCAGCAGCCACTCCTCTTATTTATTGCCTGTGGTGCTTACTGCTGTTGAAACAACATAGGAAGCTCAAGCTTTGTTTGTGTGAAGAAGTGAAAATGAGGTGGCAGCTTTTGCAGTCTGATTCCAGCCATTTTCTTCCTGTCAGGGTGCAATTGCCAGCTTTGAGAGTGAGGCCTGACACCTTGTTTTCTTGTGTGAAGAAAGGAGGCCAGAGATCTGTTAGTCTCTAAGGTGCCACAAGGACTCCTTGGTTCTTTTGGCTGATACAGACTAACATGGCTACCCCCTGAAAAGAGATTTCTCAATTAGCTTTAACTGCTGCTTGCCATTATATGTTCCCCAGGATCAATGAGATGGGGGGGGGGGGCACTTGAAAAGGCCATTTTGCAGGATGCCTGCATGTCAGCTATCAGGGTATCAAAAAATCTGTGACTGGCATAATTTATTCCCAAATTTAGTGCTTTTAATTAGGTACCTTCTGCATGTCCAGTCTTCACAAACACAATCTGGCACACAGTGGAAAACATCCAAGTGGGGAGGGGGAGGGGTCTGGGCGGAGTGGGGTGGAGTGTGGGCAGGGCCACGAGCAGAAGAGGCAAGTCGGGGAGCTAGTCTCCCCGAGTGAAAGCTTCACCCATCGCCCATGCAAGGGAGCAAGGCCATGGGGATAATTGCTGATGAGTGAGATCACAAGGACAGTGCAGAGGAGAAGCATGAGACCAGACTGCTGATTCAAGATTTGTCTGGCACTCTGGACCATGACCAGGAGACCCTGAAGGATTCAAATGGAGGGTTCTACAGAGACTAGTTACAGATAAGTTGTATGTAAGAATGTTTAAGGGACTGGAGTAAAAGCAGTAGAAGAACACCAGCCCCATACATGAGCATGGTTTCAGAGTAGCAGCCGTGTTAGTCTATATCCGCAAAAAGAAAAGGAGTACTTCTGGCACCTTAGAGACTAACAAATTTATTTGAGCATAAGCTTTCGTGAGCTACAGCTCACTTCATCGGACGCATTCAGTGGAAAATACAGCGGGGAGATTTATATACACAGAAACAATGGGTGTTACCATACATACTGTAACGAGAGTGATCAGGTAAGGTGAGCTATTACCAGCAGGAGAGCGGGGGAGGGGGGGGACCTTTTGTAGTGATAATCGAGGTGGGCCATTTCCATGCCTCCAGCTTTCATCCAGACCACACCACACGATCCATTGTCTACAGCCAAGCTCTACGATACAACCGCATTTGCTCCAACCCCTCAGACAGAGACAAACACCTACAAGATCTCTATCAAGCATTCTTACAACTACAATACCCACCTGCTGAAGTGAAGAAACAGATTGACAGAGCCAGAAGAGTACCCAGAAGTTACCTACTACAGGACAGGCCCAACAAAGAAAATAACAGAACGCCACTAGCCATCATCTTCAGCCCCCAACTAAAACCTCTCCAACGCATCATCAAGGATCTACAACCTATCCTAAAGGACGACCCATCACTCTTACAGATCTTGGAAGACAGGCCAGTCCTTGCTTACAGACAGCCCCCCAACCTGAAGCAAATACTCACCAGCAACCACACACCACACAACAGAACCACTAACCCAGGAACCTATCCTTGCAACAAAGCCCGTTGCCAACTCTGTCCACATATCTATTCAGGGCCTAATCACATCAGCCACCCTATCAGAGGCTCGTTCACCTGCACATCTACCAATGTGATATATGCCATCATGTGCCAGCAATGCCCCTCTTCCATGTACATTGGCCAAAATGGACAGTCTCTACGTAACATAATAAATGGAGACAAATCAGACGTCAAGAATTATAACATTCAAAAACCAGTCGGAAAACACTTCAATCTCTTTGGTCACTCGATTACAGACCTAAAAGTGGCAATTCTTCAATAAAAAAACTTCAAAAACAGACTCCAACGAAAGACTGCTGAATTGGAATTAATTTGCAAACTGGATACAATTAACTTAGGCTTGAATAAAGACTGGGAGTGGATGTGTCATTACACAAAGTAAAACTATTTCCCCATGTTTATTCACCCTGTCCCCCGCTGTTCCTCAGACTTTCTTGTCAACTGCTGGAAATGGCCCACTTTGATTATCACTACAAAAGGTCCCCCCGCCGCCCCTCTCTCCTGCTGGTAATAGCACACCTTACCTGATCAGTATTTTCCACTGAATGCATCCGATGAAGTGAGCTGTAGCTCACAAAAGCTTATGCTCAAATAAATTTGTTAATCTCTAAGGTGCCACAAGTACTCCTTTTCTTTTTGTGGATACATGTGCATGTGGTCAAAAATGATCTCTAAGAGCCCCGGAAAGGGTGGGAGGGAACTTCCTGAGGGATGCAGGTAAAGGTCAGTCTATCAAACCCCATAGCTGGGTTTGCCCCCTTGGTTACAAGTTCATGTCAATTTTTAGATCCAGCATGAGAACCCCACTTGGACAGTTCAGCTGTTTCTTTATACAGGTTGGGCCTTTGGTCACCAGTCTCCGGGAACAGGTAATCACCAGTTGACGGCTCTCTCCTCAGGGGGGAGCTTGAAAAGGCAGAATTTTGCATAACTGTGGTAGTTGAATTTATATTAACCACTTCTAGCTTACACCTCTCGGAAAGGTGGGTTTGTTACAGCAACGGAAAAAACCCTCTTCTATGGTTGTAGCAAATATCTATACTGGATGCCACAGTGGCACAGATTCAGCGCCATGGCTGTGCCCCTGTAGCGCCTGAACCATAGCCAAAGCCTGCATGGCCAGCGGCTACAAATCACCACACAGCGCTTTCCAAGCAAGCACATTTATTGTTAAGGTAAAAAGCATTACAGGGAAAACATATACAAAAGAATAAAAGTACCTACATGCATATAAATAACTTATTAGTGGTCACCCTAATTCCAGTTGGGGGCTCTGATAGGGGTCAGTCTTGCAAACCTCACAGCTGGATTTGCCCCCTTGGTTACATGTTCATGTCAGTTTTTAGATCAGGCACCAGAATCCCAACTGGAAGGTTCAGCTGCTTCTGTATAGAGCTTGGGCCTTTGATCTCCAGTCTCCGAGAACAGGCAATCACCAATTGATGGCCCGCTCCTCAGGGCATAGTTTGAAAGGACTAGGTTTTTGCATAACTCGTGTAGTGGAATTTATATTAACCACTCCCCAGGGATTCCTCAGGAAACCCACTTAACACTTATTGTTCCAAAAGTCCATGCTTGTCTCATGCGTTTAAATTTATTCCTTATACTTCCCAGGTCTCACCTAAGCCATAGTTTCAGTGTAGGGTACTGGGACTGACACATAGTCTGTCAGTCAAGACCCAGAGTAGAATGTGATTTTTATTCTTTGGAAATAAAACAGGCAACTAAAATGGGGCCAGGCCATGAAATTCAAGTATGAGATCTGGATCCAAATGTCCTCAGTATTAGAGGTTTGGATTCAGTCTTCCAATCAGAGCTCCTCTATAGCAGACAAGTTGTTTTACAAAAGCAACAGGTGCCCAGCTTCTCCTAGCCAACCCCTTTGGTATCCGTCTTTAAAATCCATGTTATGCTCACTAAGATAAATAGGGCAGGATCTAGCTCAGACGATTTCAGTGAAGCTTTTATCAGAGGCTTCCAGGTTAGACCAGCTCAGCATATCTCTTCTGATTAATTAAATCCTAGCTAGTGCCTGGTCACCAGTTAACAGGGACAACATCCTGCAGCATCAAATGAAGGGAAGGGAAAGGGACCACTGTCAAGATGTTCTCTTCTCTAATTCATATCCTGAACTGCCAAAATTAAAAATGTTGCCCTTTCTCTCCAGTCTGATTCCAGGACCTGCTTTCACAGACAGAATAAAGGAAGAGTCAAGATGACAGGTATGGAGTGGGGGTGAAACTGATGTCATAATCTCTCTCTCTATGTAAAGAGATCTAGCGGAGCAATTTTCTCTGGACTTGACGCAAGCAGACCAGAGCTGAAATAATACCAACACCATTGGGACAGGTACTAATTGTAAAATGGGCCAGATCCTCAGCTGGTATAAACTGACTTTCATGGTGCTATTCCACTTTGCATCAGCTGGCCAATGAGAATTGTTTAGAAGTTTGAGCATAGAAGCCAGGAATGTTTCTGACTCACTGCATGACATTGAAAACAGTGTCATTTAGGGCAAATTTGTCAAAAAATGGTCTTTAATTTTGGCTGTCATTTTTGACAAAGAATTTTTTTATTTGAACTGTTTCAACCATCTCTACTTTAAGCATGCACTTAAATGCGGTCCAGAATGGGGATACTTTCATGAATCAGGGCCTAAAGTCCTTTTCCCTCAAATACCAGTTTGTTACTGTTTGATGCATTCCTGTCTCCTTGATAAAACATCTATATAGCTAATTTATTTGAGCATGAGCTTTCGTGAGCTACAGCTCACTTCATCAGATGAAGTGAGCTGTAGCTCATGAAAGCTCATGCTCAAATAAATTGGTTAGTCTCTAAGGTGCCACAAGTACTCCTTTTCTTTTTGCGAATACAGACTAACACGGCTGTTCCTCTGAAACCGATCTATATAGCTGTAACTCATCCACCAATTTGGGGCTTGTTCTCCTATGCCTATGCACACCAGTACCCTTGCTATCTCCACATCTGTCAGTTTTCAAGTAATCTAGCAAATGCACACTCTAGGAATTTCTCTGTGTGCTAGTAGTCGTCGATGATTCTGCTTACTGAGAGGGATAAGATTCATCCAAACTAGGTACTCTAGCGGCTCTTTCCTCCCTCAGGGAAAAAGTATGGTGACAGTAGCTTTTCCCTGATTTCCAGATTGCCAGGTTGCCTGTTATAAACCAGTACTCTTATCATTGCTTTTTCCAGGTGGCTCTATTTATGAGCAGGCATGAAACACAAAAAATAAACAGAAAGCCTGTGATATCAGCAATCAGCTGAATGAAGTACTGATTTTTTTTTTTTTTAGTATTGCTAAAATACTGAAGGAAAATGATGCAACATATTCCAAACAGAACAGCAAAAGGTTGATTTTGTGTTTCCAAAGGGAATTTTCTTATGGGGTGCCCACATAATAATCTCTACAACCCAGATCCCAGTACTCCTTTGAGAGACCTGGGGGAGGAAGCTGGGGGGATGTATTCAGGATCCATGCCTGAAGGTTGAGACCAAGCTATCTTGAGCCCGCTTTCGGGGTCCACACATGCTGGCAAGCAAGAATGGATCCTTCTTGTGCTCCACATCGTAGAACGGACAGATCTTCAGGTGTTCAGACATGGAGGGAACATCACCGAACTGCCAGTTGTTAACAGGGGAGAACAGGCTGCTAAACTGCCAGATCTAGTATGTGGGAATAAAGGAGAGAATACTAGAATGTTAATTAAAATGCAAAGAGGTTTTACAAACACATCGATGTTCTGATATTAAAATGGACTGTCATTACTCTTAATTGATTGGACTGACTAGTGGAGTCATGATAGCATAGGATTGGTGTAACAGTGGAAAATCAGGTCCTATGTCTTTATATACACTGTCTTATAACATCTCTCTCTTTGTGTAAATACATACTTGTGTATACCAAACCAAAAGTATATTAAAATGGAAGTAAGGTTGAGAGTGCACATGAATAACTTATAGGTAAAAAACATTCGACCAATGTTATAATTATTCCAAAACCAAGCATTATAAATCTAGGAACTTCAGAGTTAAAGTTATCTGTAACAGAAATCCAAATATGTGAAATATTAGCCAATACATATATGATAGTAGTCGTATACACCATATTACTAGGTATTATGCATAGGGCTCCATGTCTGTCACGGAGGTTGTGGAAGTCACCGATTCTGTGACTTCCTGCGACCTCCAGAAGTTCTGCAGCGGCCAGTGTGGCTGATCCCAGAACCGCCCAAGCAGCTGGCCCTGGGGACAGCCACGCCAGCCATTGCTGGAGCAGCTCTGCAGCCAGCTGCTCAGGTGGCCCCGCAGCCAGCTGCACCAGCCGCTGCTGGAGTGGCCTGGGGCTAGCTGCACCGGCTGCTGCTCTGTCAGCCCCGGGCAGCTGGCCCCGGATCGCCCGAGCAGCGGCCAGTGCAGCTGGCCCTGGAAGCTGCCTGAGCAGCAGTCCTGGGGTGCCAGGAGCAGCTGCAGCTTGGTGGCTCCTGGCCGCGGTCCCAAGGCGGCCGGAGCAGAGTCACAACACAGCAGTATGGAAATTCTGGGACAGTGCTAAATTCTTAGCAATTTTCATAGGAAGCACCAGAGAATGAATTGTAATTTAAAGCAGGTTCCAGCCTGCCTAAATTATACTAGGGCTGTTTTGGCTCCTGATCAGCCTAAAACTGGAAGGAAGGAAAGGTGGTTTAAAAGTTCACCCTCTTTCCCTATATTTGTTAGTGAAGTGCTGGTGAAATGTACCAGACTGACAACTCTGTAAACTTATGTCTTCTGTCAACAGTCCAAGAGCAGCAGAACAGCGGCAGTGTGAAGTCCCATCCCCAAACCTTGTGCTCCTTCACCAATCTCCCTCACTTCTCACCTGGAGGAGTGAGAGAGGCATTCCATTAATAGACTGACAGATTTTAAGTCCAAAAGGGGACAACTGTGATCATCTAGTCTGGCCTGCATTACCATAAAATTTCACACAGTAATTTCTGCATAAAGCCCATAAATTGTGATTTAAAGATTTCAAATGATCAAGCAGAATCCACCACATCACTGCGTAAGTTCTTCCACTGGTTGATTCCCAGCAATTAAAATGTTGTACCTTATTCCTAACCTAATTCCAATTTGCATTTGGCTAGCTTCAACTTCCAGCTGTTCAATTTTGTTATGCTAGATTAAAAAGCCCTCAGCTCTTACATATCTTCTCCCCATATAGGTACTTGTTATAGACAATGATCGAGTCACCTCTTAACCTTAACAGACTGAGCTCCCTATGCCTCTCACTGAAAGTCAGATCTTAAAACATTTTTGTGGTTCTTCGCTAAACCCTCACCCATTTTTGGTGTCCTTTTTGAAGCACAGACACCAGACATGGACACAGTACTACTGGAAACAATGTGGTGGTAGTCCCCTGCCTGCCATATACATAGGTAATATAACATCCCTATTTCTACTCGAGATTTCCTTTTTTATACATCCAAAGTTCACATTAGCTTTTTGGCCAGAGCTTTAAACTGAGAGCTTATGTTCATTTGGTTATCTACTTTTACCCCTAAGTCCTTTTCAGAGTCACTGCTTTTCAAAATACATCCTGTGTGACACACACTCTTTGTCTCTGCGTGTATGACCTTGTATATGTAGTCATATTAAAGAGCTTGTCTGCACAATGTGTTAATGTGCACCAGGGGGGCATAAATTCTCATGTGCACCAGCATGTTTGCACACTGACTGGCTCATGTTGACCCTGTTGGGACACACTAAAGTCCTCTAGGGCACACTGATGTAATCCCATTTCAAACAGTAATACATTAACACACATGAGAGAACTTTTAGTGCACACCAGCAGGAGCAAAAGACATATCTGGCTTCAAGACTAAGCTTGATAAGTTTATGGAGGAGATGGTATGATGGGATAGCCTAATTTTGGCAATTAATTGATCTTTGACTATTAACAATAAATATGCCCAATGGCCTGTGATGGGATGTTAGGTGGGGTGGGATCTGAGTTACTACAGAGTATTCTTTCCTGGGTGTCTGGATGGTGAGTCTTGCCCACGTGCTCAGGGTTTAGTTGATCGCCATATTTGGGGTTGGGAAGGAATTTTCCTCCAGGGCAGATTGGCAGAGGCCCTGGGGGGGTTTTGCCTTCCTCTGCAGCGTGGGGCATGGGTCACTTGCTGGAGGATTCTCTGCACCTCGAAGTCTTTAAACCAAGATTTGAGGACTTCAATAGCTCAGACATAGGTTAGGGGTTTGTTACAGGAGTTGGTGGGTGAGATTCTGTGGCCTGTGTTGTGCAGGGGGTCAGACTGGACGATCATAATGGTCCCTTCTGACCTTAAAGTCTATGATTCTATGATTCACACTGGCCAGTTAGTGTGCAACAAGCTGGTGCCCATTAGAATTTCCATCCCAGCTGGTGCGCTCTAACATACCATGTAGATAAGCCCAAAGTCTCCCAAAACTATTCAGTCCTTGACTTCTTGTGAGAGTAACAGCAAAATCAGTGTCAGTTGTGATGATGAATGTGTAATGCTGACACCCACTGACTGAGAGCTGGAGTGAGACCTGTCAACACATTTCACTTAGACCACCAAAAGTCGCCAGCAGATGTAAGTAATTTTCAGTCATTACCAACCTGGGCTAGTTTTAAACTTAGAGGTAAAGGGCTTCCTATCCCATGCCTGATACCTTAAGAAGCCAAGTCCCAACAAAGCAAATTTTCATGAATACCCTGTAAATTACCAATCAGTGAAAACATTAGGAGTTGATGTGAAAATCTGGGCTCCCTTCACAGTCACAGTTACTTGCAAGTATTTCACTTTTGCCTTACAAAATAGGATGTGGTAGTTTCAGGCTATCTTTAAGTACTGTACAGAACCCAAAAGAGATACAAGTCCAATTTCTAAAAAGTTCTGTGTGTGACCTTTAAGTATCAGGACAGCTCAGTTCACATCAAACAGAGTCAAGTCTTGTGTTATATTTTTAATTCGATGATCCTGCAAATACCTTTTGTTTTCCAAACACCACTGTCACTTGCCTTTTTGCGAGCTCTCCATGAAGTACCTCCATGGGAATATCTTTTTTTCTCCCACAGCAGGAGGACCATCCCTCTCTCTTGAAGTAGAGTGGCACAGATATCCCTCATCAGTACAGACACTTGGGACAGCTGAGACAAGCTGAAGCTGTCCAAGAACCCAGCAATATACTGTAAAAGTTCCAATGGAAGGCTGCTCAGGGATTCTTTACCTTTTCCTTGATTACTTGTTGTAAAATTGCATTTCTGTATTTCAGAGAGCACAGGATCAACTTCTGGTTTAATAGCAAATGTATCAAGATGCTGGCTGTAGATAATCTTTGCTTTATGACTAGCAGGGTAGAAGCGGTTTTGAACAAAAGTACATCCCAAGTAGGCAAGTGGACAACGATGTTGGAACCATCCATTTAGAGAGGACTGGATATCAGCATGAACATTCTTGAAATGTGAAGGAAACTCATCCCTCCTGAAGAAGTGATTGCAAGTGAATGTGAAGGCTGAGCAGCTTTTGTTATGTCTTCTAGTCACACACTCAGTATGAAGCTCTACATGGAGTTCTGGTGGGCTTTTTATATCCAGAACATCCGCTAGAACAGCTCTAGAGGAGAAGGGTTCCACCTGAAAGCTGTATGTCTGTGTCCCAAAATCCATGAACAGTCCATCAATATTCTTTGCTTCTGAGATCTCATGACCTTTCAGTTCCTTTTCCAATGCACACAATAGTGTACTTCTGGCTGTATCTGATTTAGGAAATTCCTCAAGGCTTATTTGCAAATCTGAAGTATCCACTGACTTGTCCATCATTGCTGTCTTGTATGCCAAGGAATCTCGAAGTTGTGCTCTTTTGCCATGATAGCTAACTGGCACTCTGAAGGTGCACACAGTCTTCACCTCATGAGCCTCCAAATTCCCATACACAAAGTCTTTCTCTCTTGGTGTACAAGCAGCTAGCTGACCAAAATGGATGAGCATTCTCCCATGATGCACCAGGTACATGTTATAATCCCCTACGTTAACTTCTTTTTTCAACCTCTCCAGGATCCCATCTTGCCAAGGAGCCAGACCTGTCTTTTCTGCACCTGTAATCACTTGATTATTTTTGTTTTCTTTTGGCTCTTCCACAATAGCTGCTTCCTTTGTCTTCTCTTTGGGGTTGCCATCACAAAGAATCTGTCCTGTTTTCTTGTAGCAATCTCCTTCCTTTTTTTCCGAGTTTGCTGAAACATCTGTTGCCTTCAATGCTGAAAGCTCTTTGCTAAACATGTTCTCCCAGGCTTTGTAACTTACTAGATCCATCCCCTTCTTATCCTTTGCCAAATCCTCACGCTCCTGTTGGGTAAGCTCAGCAACTTGGCCATCAGCTTCTATAGAATCACATGCTATTCCTCCAATGGCTCCTTCTTCCAAACCTGCTATTGGCTCTTCTGTGTTATCATTTTCTCTCCATTCTGGAAATAGCTCAACCATTTTCAGAGTTCTAAAAAGAATCTTCTGATCTCTGAGGGCTAGGGCTGTATCTAGATACTGATCATTATGTGGCTCCTTCATAATGTTCTTATGTAGAATGGTTTCTGAGTCTACATTTGGCCAGCGATTCCATTCCATAGAGCAGTGGACAACACTGGCTGGACAGACCTGAAGGTGCTTTGCCAGCTTAAAACGGGCCATGGAGAAAGGGCAGCCATAAACTGAGTTGAGGCATGAGACCTGCTCTAGGGGACATAAGAGTTGGTGTTCTTCCTGTTTACACATATGAAAGGCAGCCCCACAGCGTGAATGGCAGTTGATCACTAGGCAAGAGATGGTGAGCTCGACTGGGACTTGGCATTGCCGGTTGAAACATTTCTCACAGTGCTTGTGCTGTCCAGGACTGGTTTTCTGAGCCCTGCCCTATGAACATCATAGATAAGAGAAGACAAAAAGAAAATACAGTTATTGCCTAAAACAGCATATTGACCACAGGTGGAAGTTGCTTGACTCCTACATGCCAAGTCTAAAATGTTGTTCTAGTCTGAAAAGTGATTACATAAAAATGACACCTGCTTACATATCAGAGCTGGTCCTTGTGTGTATCAGAGTCATATCTGTTAATAATGGTGATGTAAATAAGCCATTACTGCTCTTTACTCTTCTTAGTCCAGCAGAGCAGCACAGCTCTGAAAGAGTGAGTCGGATTCTAGTCCTCCTTGTGCATCAGTAACAGAGTTGTTTATTAAATTCCAATCAACTGGAGGTAAGGTGTGAGAAAGTTCACAGTACACATTTGAGCTCTACAATAAATCTTCTAGCGAAACAAAGGAAGGCCATATTTGACATTTCCGATATGGTTAATCATGGCTGCTTTCGCTCAGGCTTGCTTTATTTTTTAGAACTTACAAACACCAAGCAGGTTACTAGGCTACTAGTTTTGTATTAAATGAACTGCTTACCTACCTTTCTTTTATGATTGTGGTTTCAATTAATCTCTTAGCTGTAAATTAAATGAGTTTAGTCATATAAAAATAATTATTTGTATTTGTGTAAGACCTTTCCAAAACAGTTTTCAAAGTGTCTTGCAAACAATTAATGGAGCATGAAAATAATTCTGGGAGTCACCTATTATTATGCCCTTTTACAGATGGGGCAACTGAAGTACAAAGATTAATGCCAAGCACAAACAGGCTCCATGGATGTCAATGACTTGTCCCAAGGAAGTTGCTGAGACAGGAAGAGAATGCAGGACTTTCCCTGCTCTAGCCACAAGACCACATTTCAACCTGGTTCAGCCCCATATTTCATTTGTGGAGGGAAAAAGCCAATGATTAGAAGGAACTGTAGTTAAATCTATAAACAGTTCCCTTTCTCCTTTTCCTTTGATATACAACAAAAAAAGATACAAAGTGGGGGGACCTTTTATGTTGTCAGGATGAAGAAAAGGATATGGACAATTTTACTGGTAGCGTCTTACAAGGAAATCACACGTCCTTCCCAAAAGCACCTACCATAATTCCAGCAGACCGTCTTGTTTGTCTCTGAGGAAAAAATGCAAATAATTAGTCAAATAATGAAGACTTCTGGGTTTCAGTAAACTAAAAAATACAATGGTGATAGTGCCCCCCAAGAGTAGTGCTAGCCTTTTGGCTGCCCAGGGTGGAAAATGTTTTCAGCATCCAGAAACCGAGCCATAATAAACAAACAAATAAATAAAATAAATAAAAATTATGAAAACTGAGCAGCACAGAGGTCCAATGCCCCCTGGAAATTGGGGCTCAGGGCAACCATGGTGGTTGATCACCCATACAACCAGTGCTGGTGCTGAGATGTTAGTGTTTTGCATTGCTATGCAAGAAACTCAAGTTCTACCATCCTATCCCCAAGAACAGCAAGATGCCTCACAGAAAGTAAGCTCAGGTCCTGTGGGAAGAAATGATACATAATGCTTCTTCGCCCACATTCTTTGAATCCTGTAGTTTGTTTCCTTCCCCATTAAGAAGTGACATTTTCACAATTAGCAAGAGGTTCTACTACTAAGGGAATACTACTAAGGGAATAATAATACTACTAAGGGAAGGAAATTGATCTAGATAGGACACTACTTGGTGGGATCTGTAGTCACTACAGTACATACATCTACAGTAAAATTTGTCATACATTGGTCCCTCAACACCTTTTCAGCTTAGATTCTCAACTCTCATGGGATCTGCAGCACTGAACTAGCCTGTTGTCTCTGGCAGTGACCAATACCTGTTGATTCAGAGAAGTGAAACCAACACTGCATGCTAGGAGAAAAAATTCCTTTCTGACCCTCTGCCTTGTAATCAACTTACATTCTGAATCATTAGTCTTGTTTACCTAATCTGTATCAGCACACAGGGAAAGAGCCAGTTTTAGCAGATTTATAAATTTATGTATAGCTTATTAATATCTTTTCAGTCCTACAAAAGTGAAGACAAAATATTTCCCTCATTGGCAGATGTCACGGAGCCAATGGCCCTTCAGGAGAATTAGGGCCTAACTAGCCCATGACAACCCTGTGGGCTACAACTGGAAGCCATCAGGTGCTCCAGGTGGTGCCCCTTTAGCTAATTAGTAATGGAGCAGCTGAGCTAGAAGCAGAGGCAGCTAGAACAGTATAAAGGAAAGGTTGCTGAGAAAGGAACACTGTTTGGAGAAGCGTTGTAGCTACTGCAGGCTGGAAGCGAGCCATTATGTAAGCGGGGGAATAGTCCTGCTATTGTGGGGAACTTTCCTGGCTTATGCACTACCCTGGTGAAATGGGCTAGCAAAAGGATCTGAGTCCTTGCTCCCACTTTCTTTACCCAGAGTCCTGCCTGACCTCAAGGGTTCCCCTTCTAATCTCCTGTGTGGCGGAGTCCTCATAACCCCAACAAGGCTGGGCCCAGGATTCCTGGGGGGCTCAACCCCCAACCTTGTTGTGGTCACTTAGGGCAGGGGGTAGGGTGTCTCCACTCCGGGGTGCTCTCTCTGCACTGGATGCTTCCCTGACCAACTGATCATTACATAAGTTCAAAGTAAATACAATTTATTAAACAGCAATCAATTTTAAAAAAATAAGGAAAAAATGGGAAAGGTTAAAGGAAAACACATAACCCTGCCATAGGTGCTGGAACTAGGAGTGCAGGGGCTGCGCAGCACTCCCTGGCTGGAAGTGGTTTCCATTACATACAGGGTTTACAGTTAGGTTCAATGGCTCTCAGCACCCCCCATTTAGTGGGTACAGCAGAATCACAACCAGTGTCTCTGGAATGTAAGGGAAGTTCAGTCTGTTCCTCACAAGTCCCAGGCCTCCTTCTCAGGCCCTGGCTGTGCTGCAGGGGTGCTGCGGGTCGGACACTTGCTCTGGTGGTGCCACACGCTCTTAGGCTCTAGGGGGCAGGACCTTTCTTTCCAGTGTCACCCTCGCCCCGTCGCCGTTACGATCCCCCTCCAAGTCTGGCCTGCATGGCGTCTTGGCTGGGGGCAACTCCCTGCGCTGGGCCCGCTGCCCTGTGTCCCCCTCGCTCCCCCCAGCTGCTCACTGCAGCTGGCTCCGGACTGCTCCAGCCCCCCTCCCAGCTCCAGCTCTCTGTCTCAGCTCCACTCTGCCTCCATCTCCCTGGGCTGCTTCTCTGGCCCCTCTGGCTCTGGTTGCTGCAGCTCTGCTCCCAGCACTGACCCGCTCCCTGGGCTGCTTCCCTGGCTCTCTCTGGCTGGCATGGTTCTGCTCCCCAGCTCATCTCCGGCTCCTGCTCTCTCCTTAGCTTGGACCCCCTCTGTTCCAGACAATTCCAGCTCACACGGGGGACAGGACCCCCCTGGCCTCCTGACTCTATCATTAGCCTGCCACCCTGTCAATCAGGCTGACCAGGAGCATTGGCCTCCACCATTGGTAATGATTTTCCATCAACCCTTCCCCTTTCTTTTGGTACTGGGAGCTAGCCAACCAAACCTCCCCCCCCTCGCCACTGAATTTTAGTCAGGGGCCAACAGTCCCCTTACACATAGGAAGCAGGGTAGGCTGCTGTGGAGTAAAGCCCTGAGGGAGGGCTTGGAGCTGACAGTGAGAACCCCAAGAGAATTGTCAAGATCCCTGGAAAATGGAGACAGTGGCAGAGCTCTTCTCACTAGCCTTTGGGAAGAGAGCTGGCATAAGACTCCAGACCAGAGTCCTACAGGTGGAAACTGGCTTTGGGGAAGGGAACATGACAGATAGAGAGAGATCTGGTAAAGAAACCCCAGGGGACCAGAGTAGACTCCTGTGGAGGAAGCCCTGAGTTAGGGCCCATGATGGATAGAAGAAACCCACAGGGAGCAGGTTAGTCTCCTGGGGGAGAAGCCCTGGGATAGAGCTTGTAAGTGGGAACAAGAAGAACCCCAGAGATAAACTGCCAGAGTCCCTGGAGGAGGGAGGCAGTATGGGGAATCCTGCTGTGAAAGAACTAGCCATTAATTTGGCCTGAGAGGGGCTGAAAAAGAATCATCACTTTGGATTTGTTAGGATTTTTGTTTGGACCTTTTTGTTACCCTGAAAGGGGACTGAACTTGGCTGGAGGGCTGAGCCCCAGAAAACATGGTGAGAGAGAGATGGCCTCCAGGAGGTGCCAGAGACAAGGGCGCCTTGCAACATCACAGCCTGACACAAGAGGGTACTACAGGTGGTGCGCAGACCACTCTACAGCAGATTATTCTGTAATTGTCCATTATGGAGTTTCCTTCACCTTCCTTGGAAGCATCTGGTACTGGAACAGGTGGACCACTGGTCTGATCCAGTTTGGCAGTTCCTATATTCACATGCTATAGAAGATGAGATCTTTCTTTCTTGGAATTTAGTTTTATCTACATTTGAAGTATTCACAGGAGCAAGAGACACCAACCCATTTATTTCTCACTGGCAGCAGCACTGCTGTGCTAATTCTTGTCGTATTTCACTGCAACTGTAATCTCTGAAAATAGTCTCAGCCATGACTTGCATAAGATCACAGGAGGACTGGTGTTGTTATACACCAATAAAAACAAACATATGAACAATGCTTTCCACTGGGAGACTAAATCCAAGACAGAAATAATTGATAGATACATATATAACTGAATGGGGACCAAAGCACATAAGCATCTATGTCAGTAATAACCTATGCAGGTCTCATCCTGTTCCCCACCAACACAGAAAGTTCTTTTTGGAACATTTCTGGGCCTGATCTTGCTCTTACTTATACTAGGGCAAATCAGAACTCCATCAAAGACACTGGTGTGAAAAATTGATGTAAGATGTTTTCACTAGAAGAAGTGGAACTGAATCAGATCTGTGTTTTAATTTGGGCCCATCCCTAATTTTTGTGCTTTTCTATCAGAAAAATTATTTTACATATCTTTCAGTGAATATCATTTTTTTTTCAATTTACAAAACAAAAGAGGATTTTTTTTATAATTTAGCCACAAACTCCACCAGGGACTTTCAAGATGTTTTTTCTCCCTGTCCTTGGACATCATTTTATTAGTAATAAGAAGCTCCATATGCAGATGTTAGCTGATGATGTTGTTGCTGATACCCAAGGCACAATAGATCTCAGCTCATTCTCCAGTAGCTATATCAGCTCTGAAATGCTAACAGGAGATAAAACTTTTTTTGTCAGTAAAGTCCGAAGATAAAATTCTAAGGCAAACACAAAGCACCAACCCAGGAACCAAACCCTGCAACAAACCCCAGTGCCAACTCTGTCCTCATATCTATTCAAGGGACACCATCAGAGGACCTAACCACATCAGCCACACCATCAGGGGCTCATTCACCTGCACATCTACCAATGTGATCTATGCCATCATGTGCCAGCAATGACCCTCTGCCATGTACATTGGCCAAACCGAACAGTCTCTATGGAAAAAAATAAATGGACACACATCTGACATCAGGAATCATAACATTCAAAAACCAGTAGAAGAACACTTCAACCTCCCTGGTCACTCGATAACAGACCTAAAAGTGGCAATTCTTCAACAAAAAAACTTCAAAAACAGACTCCAGCATGAAACTACAGAGCTGGAATTAATTTGCAAACTGGACACCATCAGATTAGGCCTGAATAAAGACTGGGAGTGGCTGGGTCATTACAAAACCTAAACCTAATTTCCCCAAACTAATTTCCCCCTACTGCTACTCACACTTTCTTGTCAACTGTCTGAAATGGGCCACTCTCATTACCACTTCAAAAGTTATTTTTCCTCCCTTGGTATCCTGCTGTTAATTGAATTGTCTCCTTTTGTTGCTGCCAGAAATTTTGGGTTCAGTTAAAAGTTCTGGAGAGGAGTGTTCTCTTTAATGTTATAGACCCTTTTGCCTCATACCCCAGCTTCCATCCCTGTTTCTATTCCTCTTTATTCCTCTCCTTTGACTCCTGTTCTTCCTTGGTTCCTATTTCCTATCCCCAGCTTTTGACCATGTTACCATAGCCCCTATTATCCATTCCCCTCAGCTTATGCCCTGGTTCCCTTCTACTCCTATTACTTCCAGCCCCACCCCTGTACCTCACTTCTCATTAGAGACAGGCTGTGTGTTCCTTGTCTTCCATGCTGCTTGGGCATTTCCAGGGCACTGAAAGCACAGAAGGGGTAGGTCTCAGTTCAGGTGCCTGAGTAGTAAGACCTCCGTACGTTCCACCACCATATAAATTGACAGGTTTTCACGCCCCCTTTTTGGTTTATGTCCTGTCCTCGGATCTCATTTCTGGACATTTACACATTTGATGTGGTGACCATTTTGAAAATGTTTTTTTATTTTTTAATAGGAAACATTAGGACTGTTTGGGTGTTTTTCACATTTCAAGACATTTTAAAGGTTAGAATAAAAGACTTTTTTTTCAGGCTTTTTACACATTTTTAAATAGTTTAGCAAACAAAAATAAAGTGTAAAGAAAAATATGTTAACAGGCCTTTTTAGAGAAAAATATTTTTATACAGTGTAACGATGCTGGTTCTGGCAGGACCCAACTGCGAGTGCCAATTCAGGACAAATTGCTTAAAGCAGGGCAGATACAGCCCAAGGCTGGGGTTTCTAGGCACACCAAGGCAAACCAAACCAACCAGACACAGAAGACTTCGGTTTTACCCCACTGGCTAACCACAAGTCACACAAACAATTCCCTTAGACACTCCAGTTTCCCAGTATCACCACCAGTGCCACTCGTTATGGGGACAAATGATTGTGAAAACCAATACCCCAGTAAAAGAAAAAAGGTTCTCTCGATCCCAAAGGACCAAGCCCAAGACCCAGGTCAATATACAAATCCGATCTTACCCACAAATCACACTGTTGCCAGTCCTTTAGAATCTAAAATCTAAAGGTTTA